GTGTGTGTGTGTGTGTGTCCCGACTCCCTCCTCCCCACGGAACAAGTTTAGAAAACTCGGCCTCAACTCAGGATGTAGTCTCCCTTCTGTTACAGCACAGGGATGAAGTCAGCGCATTCTACTCTGTTCTTCCCAAGGGGACGGCCGCGGGATCCCCTTCCCCACTTCTCCTCCTGGGTTATCTAGATCAGAATGGGGGGTATTTTCCCCCCGGCCCTTCCTCCCTGGGGTCCTGGGACCGGAAGGGTCCTCCTTTCCCCCCGGGGTCCTGACACCGGAAGAGGGTATCAATTCTCTCTGTCCCGCCTCCCTGGAGTCCTGGGGCCGGAAGGAGTGGTTTCCTCTCACCGCGCCACTTCTCAGGTGCTCACCTCGGGGGGCAGGTAAGGGGGGTTGTTGGCTTTGCCCCCCCTGTTCCTTCCGTTCTTCTTTTTCCCCTTCGGGCCCCCGCAGCCGCTGATGCCGCCGGTCCCCCTAACCTTGAGGGTTCCGCTCAGGGCCGGGCCCCCTCCGGACCGGCAGCAGCCGCCGAACAGCTCCGAAACCCGCGAGTCCATCCGCTGCTGCCGCCAGCCCCCCGCCCGGCCCCTCCCCCCACCGTCCCCGTCGCCGTCGCTGTCGCCGTCGCCGCCCCTACTGCCACCGCCGCGGCGGGCCAGCCAGAGGAGAGGGGGGTGGGGCCCTGTGAAGGCCACGCCTCCCCCTCTGGCCAGGGGTCGCGTCAGAAACAGCCGCGGGGCACCACGGGATTTAGAGTCTCAGGCCTGGGACCTTCCTTAAAAGACCTCGCCGCCGCCCTACAACTCCCAGGAGGCATTGCAGGCAAGGGGCCGCCAGTGGCTTCGGGGCGTAGGCAACGCGCGCGCCCTTGCCCGCGAAGGTCTAAGGGAACTGTGGTCTGGTTTCCAGTCCCCGAGCTGAGTGGGTCTTTTCCTAGGGGCCTGGGGCTGGAGCAGTCACCGGAGGCAGAGAGCTTACATCAAAATCAAGTTTTATGGGCGCTCCTGGGTTTGGCCCCTTGGCGCAATCGCAGGCAACAGGTTTTGGACTTGGAGAACTGCAAGACTCCGAGCGACTTGTCCCTTCCAGCCTGCTGGCCTCGCCACTGCCTGTTTCTTCCCCGACGTCCGGCGTGTTGTCGGGGTGAGTCAGGGCGAAGGCGGATGGTGGCCAATTACGGTTGTTAATTCTGCGATGATTATGCCATCTTTACACAGTAGTCACTGCTTTATTACCAGGCAGGCACCCTCCAGGTACTGGTTTTAACAGCCCCACATACCGCAGTGGCACCGACACGAGCTCCGAACCCATAAACCAGCCTTGCTGCGTGAGGGCTACAAGGCTGCCAGCGGCGATTATTGCCCCTCCTCTGTGTTTTGAAGTAGAACCAATCCCGAAGAAGCGAGTTTAGTTTTAAAATAGCCAGGCCTGTAGGAGGGTCCTGCCCCGCATTTGGGGCGGGGCTGGGACTCTGATTACGTCAACCGCTGCTAGGGCAGGGGAAGTGGCCAGGAATAGTAACTTGGCCGAGAGCCACAGGGGATTACTGACTTTTGACTTTCTTGCCAAGCCATCTCTCTTGCTCTTTGGGGCTCTCGCAGTCAGCAGAGAGTAAACAAACTCAGCGACATAAACCAGTGTACAAGACACTACTAGAAAGGCAGAGTGGAGAAGCAGTGTTGCTGGACTGGGAGTCAGGACGCCAGGATTCAATTCCCAGGCCCATGTCTGTCTCATGACTCATCACTCCCATAGGTCCACTTCCCCTCTTCACAGATAGCGAGGTGCTCTCACACAGCTAAGAAATAAAACAGCGCTTCCCTTCAGATATGTTTTCTTTGGAAAACTAGAAGCAGCAACATTAGCTTACCTCAGGTGATCGTTTCAAGGGTTCAGACCTGGTAGAGTCCATGGCTTTCCCTCAAGACCTCAGCAAGGGAGGTGGGTTGCTGATCACGTAGTTGTTGTCCACATTGCACAACCCCAAAGCAGATGGGAGAAGAAAGACCAAAATCTGCAAAACAGCCTAGCCGACCAAGCCAATTATGTGGTCTTCAGTGGTTGAAAACACATTTGACTTCTCAATCCTATTCAGCAAAAGGAAGATTATGCTGCAGAGGTCAACCCTAGCCAGGAGTATAACCCTGCCAGGAAAACTGCTTAGAGGCTGAGACCGAAGAGCTCAGTAAGAGATCTCAAGAAGGATGGGGATTGGAAGGGAGGGCTAAGACTGTTCCCCTAATATTTTCACCACAACCAGCTCTGGGTTCTCTTGATAACCAGGGCCTGCTGCACTCTTCTGATAACACTTGTCCTCATCTTCTTGGATCTTTTAACTACTCCAGTGTACACAATTTCACATCATCCATCCCATTCCCCTTGACTCCTAAATGGAGAACTTCTTTTAAGAAATAGGAGAGGATAACCTATTCTGACAACCCATTCTTGAATAACCTTGCTTACCACAGACAGGAGAGAAAGCTGGCAGAGGAGCAGGCTGAACAGAGATGTCTGTCCAGGAGATCAAGGTTCTGGGAGATGGAAGGTGGTACATGTGTTTAGCTTCCCAGAGAGGTTGCTTATGAGGTAGTTGGCAGTGGAATGCAGGATATATGATGTATATGTGCTCATGCACACACACACACACACAGATGTATTTCCTGTCCTGGTATGTAATCACTTATTCTTTGTGTATTGTACCTTTATGTAAGTTTTAAACTCAGACTTAGCAATCTTTCCCTTTGTACTTCCTTGGTTTTGTGTCATGTCTGGGCTATGTCTAGCCTAGTTTATGAGTTATTCCCCAATATTTTTTTCTAGGAGTTTTGAGGTTTATTTTTATGTTTAGATCTTTAATCCATTTGGAATTTATGTAGGCTGTGTGGTAGGAACTAATTTGATTTTTTTTTTTCTAAATGAATAGGGAACTGTCTCAAGTTATTTGATTTGAAAAGTCACCCTCAGGGTAGACTAAGATCTACATATGTAGGGCTGTTTGTGGGCACTCTTCTGTTATATTATTAATTTCTGAGCCAAATACCACAGTATTAATTATCGGACTTTTACCATGTTTTGATCTCTGATCCTTACTTCCAGAAACATACCCTTTTCTTGGCCTCTTATATAACACTTGTTTATTTCTCTTTATACTTCTCTGGCTACTCCTCAGTCTCCTCTACAGGTTCTCTCTCTGCTCATCCCCTAACCGTTAGTGTCTTCAAGATCCTGGTTTACCCTCATTCTGTACACCCTCCGTGGATGATCTTATGCACTCCCATGCTGATGACTCTCAAATACATATCTTTATTACTAACGGTTTTCCTAAATATTTCCTCACTATCCAATGGAACAGCAAACTCAGTGTATCAAAAACTGAATTCATCTTTCCTCCTCACACACCAATAAACCTGGTTCTCTTATTGTAGTGTTCTCTCCTTCACTGAATGGCACAACTGGCCATAGAGTTGCTGAAGTAAAAAAAAAAAAACTTCCCCTTCCCGAGATCAACTGCCAAGTCATGCTCATGGGATCTCCTAAGTATCTCTAGGCTTCACTCAGTTCTCTCCACCCCACTGTTGACTACTCTAGTTCAGGCCTCTTTCACCATGCACCTGGGTAAATTGCAGTTCCTAGCTCTGACTAGTGTTCCTGTTTCCTCTCCTATCCTCCCTGTAATCTGATGTCTACACCACAGCCAGAGTAGAGATTACATTTCTAAAGTGTAAATTTAATCATGCCATTCTACTTAAACCTTTTAAAGCTTCCTCTTCACCCTACAGTTCAAGTTCAAACTCCTTAACATGGCTTAAAAAGCTATGCCATGATGTGGCTCCTGTTTGTTCACCACAACCTTAACTCATTTTAATCCGAATTATTTCATTCCTTAAAGAGAGGATGCGCTTGTCTCCCAAGGTCTCCTGGACCATGAGATCCCACTCTTTACATTTACTCATCCTACAGGTCACAGTATCTTGGGCACATTTTCTCTGGGACCACCCTCACTCCCACCCCGCCTAGGTTTAGGTAAGGCGCCACAGCCCGTGCACATCCCATTGTATTGTATAATTCATCTCAAGCCTTCCTCTTGTATTTTATCTATAGACAGTGAACCCCTTGAGGACAGCTCTCTGCCTTGTTTGCCCGAGTCCCCACCACCAAGGACAGTGCCTGGAAAGAAGTAGGTGCAGTGAATAGTGGACGCAGAAGAGAATGGATGGATGAGGTCGGGTGCAGTAGCTGAAGGGCTCAGCGTACCCTTGATGGTGTTGGGAGGTACAAGGTTCAAATACCAGCCAGCCTGGCTTCCATCACAGCGGCGGTGCCGTATCCACTTCCGGCCGGAAGTGGAGGAGCAGGCTTCCCATGTTACCCTGCGGGGCGCCCATTCAAACAGCTCGAAGAGGGAGTTGGTCGTGATGGCCGCCCCGGAGCCGGAAGTGCTTTCCCTAGCCGCAGTCCTTGGTAAGGCGTGGGGCCCGCTGCTCGGGGAGCTTTGGGGACCTGTTTCTCACGTGCCGCCGCTCCCTGCAGTCCTTAGCCCCTGGCCCTTTCTCTGGGCCGTCTTCCTTGTCCCAGTTTCCCAGCGTCCCTCCCAGCTCTGGCTCAGCCCCACTGACTCCATTGCCCTCCCCGCCCTGGATCCCATTGGTTCGCTCCCCCTCAGCCTTCCTCTCGGCGGTGTTATGGACTTCGCTTGACTGTACTTTCTTTCAACTTAATATTCCAGATCAGAGCCTTCACATTCGGAACGGAGCCCGTGTGACTGCCTCCGAAATCCCCGCCCCATTCCTCTGTTACTTAAACAGATCCTCTGTATCTTAGGCGACTGGGATCAGGAATCTTCCTGCCACCGCACACACGGGAGTTTGCGGAGTGGGAATGTGCATGTGCCGGGGTGTCCCCTCTGCAGCGGTGGCTGATGTGGCCACAAGGGAATGAGAATACCGGCTTTTACGTTTTTCATTTTTCTCCCACGTGCCTCTGTGCACGTACTAGATTTGGAGTGGTATGAGAAGTCAGAGGAAACCCACGTCCCCCAGATAGAACTACTCGAGACAACCTCTGCCCAAGAGCCTCCCAACCCTTCGGAGCCCTTTGGCCCCAGAGACTGCATGGTGCCAGTGGTGTTTCCCGGGCCTGTGAGCCAGGAAGGCTGCTGTCGGTTTACTTGTGAACTTCTAAAGCATATCATGTACCAACGCCAGCAACTACCTCTACCCTATGAACAGCTTAAGCACTTCTACCGAAAACCTCCCCAGGTAGGCACAGGCTTTGGGAGAAAGGGTGAGGAGACTTTATAGCTGTTAGATGGTAGGCAGGTAAAAAAGGAGGTCTAAGGAATTGTCAGGGCCTGTCAGCCTAAGCAGCTGTAAGGAATGTGTTTCAGCCCGTGGCTTCAGTCATTTTCTCTCCTTGATAGTCTTTGATAGTCTAACCCTCCTTGAATTTTTTTCTGAAGTCCCAGTGTGTGTTGCTTTTGGACCTAATGAACCGTCCCTTTAATTTTAATGCCCTTTTGTCTCTTTATTTTTATGTTTTACTTTCTGGGGGACTTCCTTGCCTTTATATTCTAACACCAATATTAATTTTTTTCTTTTTGGGCATAATCTTAAGAGTTCTTAATTTTTTGCATGATCCTTTTTTTTTAAAGGTATCATTGATATACAATCTTATGAAGGTTTAACATGAGCAACACTGTGGTTACTACATTCACCCATATTATCAAGTCCCCCCACCACATACCCCATTGCAGTCACTGTCCATCAGTGTAGTAAGATGCTATAGAATCACTACTTGTCCTCTGTGCTATATTGCCCTCCCCGTGCCCCCCCTACATTATGTGTGCTGATCATAATATCCCTTAATCCCCATCTCCTTCCCTCCCCACCCGCTCTTTCCACCCTCTCTCCCTTTGGTAACCGCTAGTCCCTTCTTGGGTTCTGTGAGTCTGCTGCTGTTTTGTTCCTTCAGTTTTGCTTTGTTGTTATACTCCACAAATGAGTGAAATCATGTGGTACTTACCTTACTCCGTCTGGCTTATTTCACTGAGCATAATACCCTCTAGCTCCATTCATGTTGTTGCAATGGTAGGATTTGTTTTCTTATGGCTGAATAATATTCCATTGTGTATATGTACCACATATTCTTTATCCATTCATCCACTGATGGACACTTAGGTTGCTTCCATATCTTGGCTATTGTAAATAGTACTGTGATAAACATAGGGCTACATATGTCTTTTTGAATCTGAGAACTTGTATTCTTTGGGTAAATTCCAAGAAGTGGAATTCCCAGGTCAAATGGTATTTCTATTTTATTTTTTTGCGGAACCTCCATATTGCTTTTCACAATGATTGAACTAATTTATATTCCCACCAACAGTATAGGAAGGTTCCTCTTTCTCCGCATCCTTGCCAGTATTTGTTGTTCCTTGTCATTTGGATGTTGGCCATTCTAACTGGTGTGAGGTGATATCTCATTGTGGTTTTAATTTGCATTTCCCTGATGATTAGTGACGTGGAGCATCTTTTCATGTGCCTGTTGGCCATCTGAATTTTTTCTTTGGAGAAGTGTCTGTTCATATCCTCTGCCCATTTTTAATTGGGTTATTTGCTTTTTGAGTGTTGAGGCATGTGAGTTATTTATATATTTTTTATGTTAACCCCTTATTGGATATGTCATTTACAAATACATTCTCCCATACTGTAGGATGCCTTTTTACTACTGATGGTGTCCTTTGTTGTACAGAAGCTTTTTAGTTTGATGTAGTCCTGTTTGTTCATTTTTGCTTTTGTTTTCTTTGCCTGAGGAAATGTGTTCAGGAAAAAGTTGCTCATATTTATGTTCAAGAGATTTTTGCCTATGTTTTTTCCTAAGAGTTTCATGGTTTCATGACTTACATTAAGGTCTTTGATCCATTTTGAGTTTACTTTTGTGTGTGAAGTTAGTAATCCAGTTTCATTCTCTTACATGTAGCTGTCCAGTTTTGCCAAATACCAGTTGTTGAACAGGCTGTCATTTTCCCATTGTATATCCATGGCTTCTGTAGCATATATTATTTGGCCATATATGTATGGGTTTATATCTGGGCTCTCTTTTCTGTTCTATTGATCTGTGGGTCTGTTCTTGTGCCAGTATCAAACTGTCTTGATTACTGTGGCTTTGTAGTAGAGCTTGAAGTTGGGGAGTGTAATCCCCCTAGCTTTATTCTTCCTTCTTAGGATTGCTTTGGCTATTCAGGGTCTTTTGTGGTTCTGTATGAATTGCATGATCCTTTTTAATAGCATCCTGTTGTTCCATGTCTGTATGAGCTTCTCTTACCTGAGGATATTATGTGTTTTGAAATTTTCCTCTGTTCCCTTCATTGTCTCAGTTTCTTCCAGATTCCTTCTCCTATTTATTTGTTTTAGTCTCTGACTTTCACTTTAGCTCCTTTTATTCTGTATCTGGTGAATATTTAAGAATAAGTCATTGAAAGCTCTGTGTACATGGCTGGGCCTTATAAGCTGGTAGACTTCACTCTAAAAATATTGTATGGGAACATAGTGGTCTCTCAGGGGACTCTCAAAACACCAGTATTGGAAAAGTCTTCTGTGTGGGTGGAGGAAATTGGCAGATGATCTAAGGGTCAGGGTCTTCACAGAGGTTTGCACTCAGTCCCTATTTGTTCACTCTTGTCTTCTGTAGTGCCTAAATCACCAATTCCTGAGCCTTCCTGGGGTTCTGCAGTATGACTCAATTTGCTTCTCTTGGGCAGCTCCTCTGTCAGTACTTAGTATTTAGCTCTCTTGAACTCTTCCACCTACTCTCTCTTTTCCAAAAATTTGTTACCACCTTGGCCTCTGTTGTTGTCTGTTCTCCCGTTCTTTTTGCCCTTGGGAGTTCTCTGTCTTTCTCTTTTGCCCCTCCCTTCCATTTCCTCTCATTTAGAAGTATTTTAGATGGAAACACAAATAAGCATGTGTTCAGTTTGCCATGCGTAACTGCAAGACCAACTCCAGCATCACCTGTATTGATTACAAATTACTCTCATTCCTGCTATCATTCCATGTACAGCAAAATTTTGCCACCTGCCATCCCACCAAATTTCTTGGACTATTTTAGTTGCTTATGTCTGGATGCCTTCCTGCTGCAGAATTCTGTCTTTGTTGTTCTAAGTGTAGGAGAATTACGGGTTTGTACAAAGAATATATTTTCCTTTTTGATATATTGCTCTCTGATAAAATCCAGTGTCTGGCCATGGAAATCCAGTTCCATAAGTCTGTTATATCCCAACAGTCCTTCAAAGGACATTGGCTTCCCCCACCTTGTCCCTGCCCTCACCACTCTTTGTCCTCACAGGCAGAGGATGTGGTGAAGAAACAGCCCCGGGCCGCCGCTGAATTGAGCAGCAGAAAATGTCAACAAGCCCTGGCAGAACTGGAGAGTGTCCTCAGCCACCTAGAGGCTCTCTTTGCCCGGACACTAGTACCTCGAGTGCTTATCCTCCTTGGCGGTAGTGCACTATGCCCCAAGGAGTTCTACGAGCTTGACCTGTCCTGCCTGGCCCCCAACAGCAGGGACCAGAGCCTGAGCACAGCAGCTTGTTTGCGCCGTCTTTTCCGAGCCATTTTTGTGGCTGATGCTTTCAGTGAGCTGCAGGCTCCTCCGCTCATGGGCACTGTGGTTATGGTACAGGGGCACCGTGACTGTGGAGAAGATTGGTTTCGACCCAAGCTCAACTACCGAGTGCCCAGCCGGGGCCACAAACTGACGGTGACCTTGTCCTGTGGCAGACCCTCCGTCCCAACCACGGCCTGGGAGGATTACATTTGGTTCCAGGCACCAGTGACACTTAAAGGCTTCCATGAGTGAATGGGGTGCTTCTTAATCGGGAACACAATGGCTAATTTATCTTTCCCCCTGTGGTATCAAGTCACCTTTCTGTTGCTTGGAGCTAGAGTTGCTGCCTGGTAAGAGAAGGTTCTATCCCTCTGGCTGCCTGCCTCCCCTCCTCAGACTTCCTGGTGTGCTAGTGATATAGCTTTGGCTGTCATAATCATTGTTGAACAACATGTCTTTGAATCAGAGGTAGATTTTCCCAGAAGATGCTGGACCAGGCATTTCTATTTGAGATTGTAAAGCAAACGTGGGCCCGTAGACAGACACTCTCACGGAGGTGGCCCTTTTCTGCTTTCTGTTGTGGCCGTTCAGAAGTTTTGCCAGGTGTGACTCACAAACTTAAATATAAAATGAATGGATTTATACTAAATTTTCCTGGACATCTTTTGGCATAAAGAGACTTTCTAGGCTTAAGGCTAGAGTGTTTTGTCTTTCTCCTTGGCCTCTTATGCTTCAGGGCTCCCAGGATTATTTTTTACTAATGTGCTGTTTCTCTTCATCAGAATCCAGGGGAGTCTGGGAAGTTACATGACTTGGCCAAGGTTCTATAACAGTTTGATATCAGAGCTGGGGCTAGAGTCCTTGTCAGCTAACTCCTGGCCTGATGTTCTTTTCTTGCCATGCGCCAGGATTTGTGAGCCTTACAGTACATGTGCCCAAAGCAAAGGTCACACAGGGGAAGAGGGCTGACTGAGAGCTGGGCTGAGAAAAGGGAACTGAGCAGGTCTTTGCAAAGCCTGATTGAACTGTAGGTTGAGGCCCCATGACTGCCCTTTGGGATCAGCTCCTTGAGGCCAAATATCCCTCCTGGAGTTCTGCCCTGTCTCCATTGTAGTTGTCTGGTGGCTGCTGGCACTGACTGTTGGTCATATAGTCCTTAGGCAAACCCTGCCTTCCTGCCTATGGCAATTCCTCCTCCAAAATTCCAGAAGCTACACGTCTGACTTTGCCGTCCTGGTCCTCGCTGTTATCCTGTCCAGTTTGATGGTGGCCTGACTGCCAAGAGACCTGAGAACACCTGTTAATTTCTTGGAAGCAAGTTGAAGTAGTGTGTGTGTGTGTGCGCGCACGCGCGCGTGTGTGTGTGTACGGGGTCAATATAGATATATACTATTTTTTATGTTTTAAGAAGAATGTTTTTTGTGTTTTGATGTTTTGTTAAGAAAACATACAAAATAGTTTATATTTTATACTATATTTTAAGCACTTTACATATGTTATCTATTTGAACAGCTTTGCAAAGTATGTGTTATTGTCCCCATTTCATAGAGGCTTGGGGAGATTGAATAATGCCTAAATGGCGAAACCTGGATTCAAATCCATTTGATAAGCTGAGTGCTTTACCTGTGCTGTGTGAGTTTACTCTGAGATAATTAACAAGATGTGCCCTGCCAAAGCAAAAGCTGCAGAATTCCCCTCTGACTTCAGACTCATATGGTTCCTCACGTAGGACTGCCATCGATAGGTGCTGAGTAAATATGGTATCAATGAAAACAAAAGGTTTGGGTTCTTTTTTCTTTGACCACTTGAAGCATATTCTACCAGCTAAGATGTCAGCTGTTCTTCTGTTATTACCTTACAGAGAGGAACAGGGCCATATGTCCCGGAGGGGAAGGGACAGGCTGAGGGGTCTGACTGAAGGGAGGGCGAGTTTTGAACAAGGGAGTTATAAGTTGTTTTGAGAAGAAGACACATTAAGCCAAGTCAGCTCTTCTAAATACTAATTTTAAAAGCTTTCATAAACAATGCCTAGACAATCAAAACAAAGTAATTATCTGAGTAATGTTGACACGTATTTCTGTATTGGCTTGGCATTGGTGCCCAGGTCATTCTAATTTCATGAATTCTCTCCAAAGAAATTCAGAAATGAAAAGATCACTTAGTTATATTAACAATAAATTCCAGCTCCTTCCCTGACAAAAAGCTTGCTGATGCACCTCTTCTATCTGACCTTGGCTGGGGATTGCAGATGTGTATGTGAAAAAGTAGTCTCTAGCCCAGGAAGTGAAGAGCCCCAGCTGCAGTGGAGTTCGGGCCTTTCATTTGTTGCTGCCATTTGGGCCTAAAAGAAACAGCTGTTGGGCCCAAGGTAGAGAAATGTAGGCGGCAGTTGATGGGAAGTGTGGATGTAAATGTCATCCTTTTCGTACTCTTCACCTCCTCCTCTACCAAGGTGTGGTCATGTACCTTGCCCCAGTTCCTGTTCCACTTAGGTGGAATAGCCCTATGGAAGGGAGTAAACAGACATCTCATTAAGACTGAAGAGAATGGAATGGATGGGTCCCCTTCTGTAGAACCTGGCTTCGGGTAGGGGGACTAATTATCTTAGATTCCTAGAGTTTTAGGGCCAAGGGAATCTCAATTTCTTGTCTTCACAGGTAATTCTGAGGCCAAGAAGGGACACGACTCCAGCAAAATAATAAAGCTAATGTCGCCGTTGTATTGCGTCTGAAGCCCCCACTGCATATGCAGTGAGGACTCATTAAATGTCTACTATGTGGAAGGGTTCAGGAAAGTCAAAAATATACATGGAATTGGGCTAGTTTGGGATCTTTATCCCCACACTGTAGCCCACCTATGTTAGGGGAAACCGTGCCGTTGCCAAAACAACTGAACACATCCAGTCTCCGACTCAAGAAAGACAGAGTAGTAGGAGCCAGCGCCTGCCCGAGTTTTTCGGAAGGGCTCAGAGGGGAGAAGGGCAGGCCGGGAGCACCGAGAGGGCGGGCAGCGGGTAGTCGGGTAGGTGGAATCCTGGGAGGGGCGGAACTTCGGGTCTCCATGGAGACGGCTTCTCCTGGCAAGCTGGCGGACGTTGAGCAGAACTGGCTCGATGGACGCGGAGAGCCTTCTGCTGTCGTTGGAGCTGGCGTCCGGCAGTGGGCAGGGCCTCAGCCCGGACCGTCGGGCCTCGCTGCTCACTTCCCTTACGCTGGTTAAGCGCGACTACCGCTACGATCGGGTCCTCTTCTGGGGCCGCATCCTCGGCCTCAACGCCGATTACTACATCGCACAGGGCCTGAGTGAGGATCAGCTCGCACCGCGCAAGACACTCTACAGGTGGGGGCGTTGCCCGGATGGGCAGAGGCCAAAGGGGGATATGCACGGGAGGGTCATGGGGGCCGGAAGGGGTGGGCCTAGGTGTCCGGGAACCGGCGGGGTGCGGAGCTTGGGGGTGGGACTTGGACTGGTGAAGACTACGGGGCGGGGACCTGAACAGAGCAGTTCCTCGTGGGGCGAGACGAGTTGGGGGAAGGGATGGCAAGAGAAACTTAGATGCCTGTGTGTTGATAATAGAGGCTGGGCCAAGAACGGAGGCGGAGCAAGGTGAAAGTTCACGGAAAACGGAGACCTGGAGTACAAGGCAGGTGTAAATGGGGTGTGGGCCTGGCAAGCTGAAGAGCTCAGTTCGGGGAAGGTTCAGAAGCCCTGCGAGGTGATGTGGTGCCGTTTGGAAGCAGATCGGGGAGCATCTTCCGTGGCGGTGTTGACTTACATCAGGAGGCTCTCTAGGAAGTAGTGAACGAATGCGGAATGGGAGAGAAGGGATTTAAAACGGGTAAATTCCCTAGACACTACCATACAGGACCAACTTGCCTCTTGACTCCCCCAGCGATGACGGGGAGCTCACCAGGGAGCTGGAGACACAATTTATCTGTCCACGCATCAATCCAACCTTGATTGGATATGTCTTGTGCTAGACTTGGGGTTACAAAGTTGGCCAAGACTCACCCCTGTCTCCCAAGTTATTTACATGCTAGGGAGCAAGACCAATGTGTAACCCAGCAAGTCCCACTAACATTAGAACAGGTGTATACAAAGGGGGACCGGGGTGGAGCATTCTCCTAGAGAGCAATTACATAAGACTGCTAAAAGAGTAACTTTGTTGAGAGCTGAAAGGTAATCAGGAGATCCCTAGAAAGGTGTAGGGGTAAGACATGCTGATTGGAGGGGACAGTTCTGCAAACTTGTTGGCCGGAGTGGGTTTGGAGCAACTGGGAGAACAGCAGGTATAGAAGCATGACAGTGGCAGCTGAGGGTGTCATGTAAAACTAGATAGATGAAGAGGCCAAGGGGTGTGAACTTTGTCCATGGCCTATGCAGAGCTATTGAGGGGTGTCCAGCAACAAGAGCCTGCTCAGATCTGAGTGGGCCAGAGGTCTGGAAATGGTTGAGCATTTAGGAGTCTGTTGCAGTGTTTAGATGAGGGAACTGAAAGGAAGAGGTAGCTGTGGGAATGGAGGGGAGAGGATGGGTTGGAAAGATTTAAGTGGTAGAACTGGCAGAACTTAAGACTGAATTTGGGGAGAGACGAAGAAAAGGTCAAGGTTGGTCCTGCCAGCTTAGGCAGCTGGGTAAGTGCTGGCCCCACCTACTGGGAGAGAATTCAGGAAACTGGACTAGGGAAGACCTAGTGAATTTGATGTGAGGTGCCTGGCAGGCATGGGGATAAGGTGTATTGAAGTACAGATCTGGAGTCCAGAAGAAAAATTTGCAGATAGACAGACATTGATCTACATACCAGGAATTCTGTGGTACATGACACAAAGTCCTTGTCTTCATGGAGTCTACATTATAGTGTGTGTGGTGGAGAGACAGAAAATAAAACACATGCATTGCAGGTCAGCTGGTGCTAAGTGCTAAGGGGTGTGGATAGAAAATACAGGATGGGGCACTATTTTAAATAGATGGTGTCTGAGTTGGCCTCTTGGATAAGATAGTATTTGAGAAAAGACCTGAAGCAACTGAGTGAGCTATGTGTTTATCTGAGAGAAGAGCATTCTGCTTTGCAAATGCGAAGGCCCTGAGGCAAGATGTGTGCTTAGTGTGTTGAAGCTGGTAGAGGCTACTGTGGCTGGAGAGGAGTAAATGAGGAGGAGCCTTGTAGGACATAAGGTCAGAGAGGTAAGGGTCCATCATGCATGGCTTTGTGGAGCATTGTAAGGACCTGGCTTAATGGGAAGTTACTGGAAGGCTCTGCATGGAGACATGATCCAGCTTAGGTTTAACAGTTGGGTGGGAACTAGACTGAAAGGGGAATAGGCATGGAAGTGGGGAGACCAGTCAGGAGGCTACTACAATATCTAGGCAATCGTAGATGGTGGCTTGGGCCAGGAGGAAGCAGTGGAGGTGTGAGAAGAGGTTTGGATTGTGGATATTGACAAGGCAGTAACCGGTGCTCTGGGAGTCAGGTAGAAGACGAGTGAGAACAGATCCCTGGAAATACTCAGGACTCTGGAGGTACAAGAAGGGAGATGTCAAAGAAAATATAAATGGAAATACATTTGCTGGCTTTTAGGCCCCACGAATAGCCTTCTCCTAAACAGTTTCTTATGGTAGTAGGGGCCCAAATTACACTGCAGGGGGCAAAGAATAAAAGTGGGGGGAGATTGTTGTTTGGATATTATTATTCAGAGCTGGAGAAGAGGAGGCGAGGATAGAAAAGTGCATTTTCTAGAGGGGCATGGGTTTGAGGGCTGTTGTTTCAGAAAGCTGAGAAGTTTTTATGTTGAGGATCCAGTGGAAAGTGAGGGGTAGAAAAATGAGCAGAGACTGTGCTGGGGATGCAGGCCCTGACTGGATTGGAGAGGAATGGGAGATGCAGTGAGAAGGTGGGCAGGGCTGCCGAGAGCTCCTGAAGACCTCAGCAAGGCAGGCCTTGAGCCTGGGCTGGGCTATCTTGAGAAATAAGGCAAGAGGATGTGCTGTGGGCTCACTAGGCGGGCTAAGCACAAATGTGGGGCCCATCAAGGCAGAGGCACCTGCAACTGAGCAAAGTTCAGCTTCTGGAAACTCACTGTGTAGATATCTAGGAAGAAGCTCTGGGAATTTTGGCATACATGAAGCTCTTGTGGCCATGCAAAAAATAAAATTGAATTTGTATCACATGTGGGGGTGGGGTGCACCCTTTACACTTAAAGCTCTAAGGGGAAAGGTGGGACTCCCAGCAGCTTTTCCTGGGCCTTACCGTGCAGGAGGCGGGATGGTGGCAGGGTCTGAGTAGTGGGGAGTTGAAGGTGGGGTGACACAGGTATTGTTGGCAGCCTGAACTGCATGGAGTGGAGCCTCTTGCCCCCTGCCACAGAGGAGATGTTGGTGCAGACGTCCATGGTGAAGGGCCGCTTCATGGGGGACCCCTCGCATCTGTATGAACACACTGAGCTGCAGAAAGTGAACGAGGGTGACAAGGTCTTTGAAGAAGTAGTGGTGAGTGGGGATGAGAGGAGGAGGGCTTGAACAAAGAGGGCTGAAACCCTCCATCGACAACTCGCCCAGTAGATATTATGGGGCACTGGGGGAATGGACGGGGCAGTTCCACCAGAGCCTGGCTCTGGAGGGCACTGCGAAGAAGGGGTTGGTGCTGTGCTCTGTGGCAGCGTGCACAGACTCTGATTTTTCTATCAATTCTTATTATACTAGGTAATATGTCCACATGGTTTAAAGTTCAAAGTTCAAAATAAAAATTAAAAAAAGGAATGTTAATAAAGTGTCCCTTCCATCCTTGTCCACCAGTCACCCAAGTCCTCTTTCTGGAGAACATTAATGTAACCATTTTGCACGTGTGTGACCATACCTTGCTATTCCAAGTGCAGTCTGGTTCAAAGCATCATCGTGTCCTGACAGTTAGAAAAGCACCATTAGGAGGCATCAGGATCTGCATTTTAACACCTTCCAAGGGAATTCAAATACACATTAAAGTTTGAGAAGCTCTGCTTCCAAACTTTATACAAATACAGACCTTGGCAAATACTTTACATATTCTCTTTATCTTAAAATGCAAAACAAAACAAATGGCAGCATGTTACGCACACACTGTGCACTTGCTTTTTTTGCCTGACAGCACACTTGGGAGATCTTTCTCTATCAGTGCCCTACAGAGCCTTAACGTGGTGTGAATGTACAGTAATTTAACTCTGTCTTACTTGTGGAAATGTAGGTTTCCAAGTTTTGGTTCTGACAAGCAGTGCCACAATGAATGCCCTTGTACCTATGTCATTTTCCGATGTGTGCACTCTATCCAAAGGATCAATCCCTAGAAATGAAATTGCTAAATCAAAAAGCAAGGAGCTCAAGTTTTGAAGCTAGACAAACGTGGAATTCAAAACCCAGCCTCTGCACTTGAATCTGGCTGATGCCGAAGTCTGGGTCTAGATCTGTGCTGCCTCAGCTGCACCCTTCCCATCCCCAAATTTAACCTCCCCTTAATCTTATTTTCTGTAAAATTAGGATAATTACATTTATTTTGCAGGCTTGTGCAGGTTAACTGAGGTGACATACTTAAAGCCCCTGGCCTAGGCACTTACTATGATTTTCCATCTCCTTTGTAAACAATTCCAGTTGGCAGCCCATTGGAAAGAGGTGGCTGAGTGACTCTGGGAACCCCTGGTGACATGTTTTGCCTGTCATGTGCTGCTTTTCCCCAAACATTTCAAAGAAGTCCTTTCATGTGGGGTTGCCCTTGATATTGAGTGTAACCAAATTTCATGCATAAAAATATTATGGGGTGATGGTTGAGAAATAACATTAAGTCAGAGCAGGATATGAACTACATAAACTGTGGCTCAAATTTTGCTCTAAGTACATGCATAGAACAAAAGAATAGGATGATATATACTGCTGTGTTATTAGTGATTACTTTAGAAGAGGGGATTATGAGTGGTTTTAATTCTTAGATCTATTACAAAATATTTCTATATTACCCAGATACTGTATAGTGTAGAGTATTGCTTGCTTTTATATTTTAAAAAGACAAAATAAACACCACTTAAATATGGTATGATAGCATGGTATGTTTGTAGAAGGGTACATAAGAAACTGTTAATGGTGGTTGCTTCCCCTTGAAGGCATTGGGGGACCAGGGATGGGGTGAGACACTTTTTTTGGTAGTTTGAAATATTGCACCGCCAGTATGTATTACCAATTTTAAAAAGAAAGGGAGGGGGGAAGAAAGGACATGTTGATAGGACAGAAAGTGAGGACTTGCTTGCCCAGTGTTGATTTTCCTTGGATCTGGCATCTGCACTGTGGTGACCCAGGCCAGAGGGTCATGCAGAGGGCCCTTGCACCAGGAGTGAGTGGGCCCAGTGCCCTGGCAAGATGGCTTCTCTCCTGTCTCCTCAGGTCCAGATCAAGGAAGAGACCCGTTTGGTGTCCGTCATTGACCAGATTGACAAGGCTGTGGCTGTCATCCCCCGAGGTGCCCTCATTAAGACCCCCTTTGGACCAGTCCATGTCAATCGGACTTTTGAAGGTGAGTTCTCTGGGGCCTCTCTCAAGGGCAGGAGGGCATCTCTTCCCAAGTATAATCGGACACACCTGGGCATCCAGGGGAACCTGCCCACTTCCTCAGGGAAGGAATAGCTGTGGCCACATCAGCTGGAAGGGTGTGCCTGACATTAGTGGTTGGTATGGGCTCAACAGGCTCCCTGAAATGGAAGTAGGAACTGGACCCTGACTCTTTTCTGCCTGCAGGTGGGAGGGCATTTGGCTGCCTGAGCCCCGGGGTTTGCATGGGTCTGAGTCCCCTGCCTTTTGCCACCTCCCTTCTCCTTGGTCTCTCCTTAATGCAGGACCTGGGCCAAGTTTGGGCTGAGAGAACACTGCTCCCTTTCCTCCCTTCAGTTCTCTCTTAGTAGCTGACTGGGTCCTTTGCAAGCCTCCCCATGTGGTCCCTATGCATGGAAAAGGGGGCTCTCAGGTGTGGAGCTGACCATCCCTTCCTACCTGCCCCCTTTTTAGGACTGTCATTGTCTGAAGCCAAGAAGCTCAGCTCCTACTTCCACTTCAGGGAGCCTGTTGAGTTGAAGAACAAGACCTTGCTTGAGAAGGCTGACCTGGACCCTTCCCTGGACTTCATGGATTCCTTGGAGCATGACATCCCCAAAGGTAATAGCCTGTTAAGTTTGAGGACATTGGCCCCACCCCCAGGTCAGAGCAGCGGGCAATGCTACCTGCCATTCCCTTCTGAGAGTAGAGCCCAGGGCCTGGGCAGGAATTGGTCGTTCACCCTGGGTCCTTGAGGGTGGGGCTTCCTCAGGGCCCAAATCAGGGCTCAGCTCATAGTAAACAGTTGGTAAATGTTAGCAGACAAAAGGAAGGATTTCTTCCATATGCTTCCATGTGTCTCTCTTGGTTTTCAAACCAATCTTGAATGGAAGCATGTTGGGAATCTTTCTCCAAATGTCTCTGAAAACATCCCTGAAAATATCAGCCACACATACTTAAGATCTTAACTGTTAGTTTTGGGGTTAGAGCCAGTGCTTGGCACATAGCTTGTGCTCAATAAGTGGGTACTGACCGACTGAATAGCAAACCACCTGCTAAGGAAATGAGTTCCGTACATTTGTTTCCTGCTATATATTTAATCTTAAAACATACAGCCTCAGAGATCATCCTGTGCTTAGGGCCCACCTGGCCCGGGCACACACACAGCAGTTGGTGGTGGGGTTGCAGAGACCCCAGTTACTGCCCCTGAGCTGCTTCAGTGAGAGAAGAGTGTATCCTGTTGTTGACAATGGGGATGATGATGATGATGATGATAACTCATAGAAGCAATAATACTGCTTCTTGTGTGTGCCAGGCACTGTACTCAGCGCTTTCCAGTCCTGTTCTCATTTTAATCTTCATAGCCAGCCTATGAGATGGACACTATCATTATCTCCATTATACAGATGAAGAAACAGGCTCAGAGAGATAAACCCAGGGACACAGTAAGTGTGGGAGCATCAGACTCCAGGGCTTACTGGTATTGACTATGGTGTCAAGCAGATGGTGTTTCCTTTGACGTGGACGATGGGAACAGAGGACAATCATCACCCCACCACTATGGGAAAACACTTTTGACTGCAGTGAGGAGCCCAGCTGGGCTGGAACTTGGGATTGGAATGGGATGGCTGTAGTGGTTAAAGGCAAGGGCTCTGGAGTCAGACAGCTTGGGTAAGAATCCTGAATCGGCCACTCACAAGCTATGTGAACTTGGGCAAGCCCCCCTATTTCTTTGTGCCTCAATTTCCTCATTTCTAAAAGGTGGAATAATATTTCCTACCTCACTGGGTTGCTACAGGATTAAATGTTAACACATATTCAAAATGCTTTTAGTAGTGCCTAACACATAGTAAGGACTCAAATAAAAATTAGTTATTATTACTGATTCTTTTTAGTGGCAGAAGGCCTTAGAGGTGGGTTGGGGCAGGCCTGGGAGGGCCTAGAAGGCCAAAGTGTAGGAGGCTCAGACCAAAGCAGTGGAAGCTGCTGGGGTTTGTAAGCAGGTGTGTGATAAAGCAGTGGTGCGCGGATGGATGGAGGAAGGGAAAGCCGGAGATCTGGAGGCCTGTCTGGGCTACTGTGGTGCCCGGCGGGGGGTCAGGCCGTGAGTAAGGGCTGCCTGCAAGGAACGGCCACCCTGACCTCTGCCACACGGGGGCAGCCAAGTCATGGCTGAGTACAGAGGGGGCTCCTGTGGGGGAGATAAAAAGGGTTTATAGGGGCTGGGGCATTTCTTCCTTATCAGACACACTTTCCAATCTTGCATTATGTCCTCCAACTGTGTGTTCCCAGCCTGGCCAGGAGCCATAAGGGGCTGTACAATCCTATTTGATAAAGGGAGCCAGGAACGCTGTGGTAGTGAGACCCAGCGCCAGGGGTTGAGGGGTAGGCTGAGAAAAGTCCTCTTAACAGCCCTAATCTGCGGCCATTCAGGATGTGGTTGGAAAGCACTGCTTGGTGCTGACTTCTCAGCCCCCTCACCTGCAGCTGGATGCTCCAGGGCCTGTGGGGGAAGCACCCCCTCCACAGTGCTGGGTGACTAGGGGGACTAGCACAAGATTGCCCTCTCCACCTGGGAGCTAGATACGGCATGAGGGACCAGCAGAGTCTAAGGGAACCCCAGCAGCCCTGTCTACCCTACCATTTGGGATAAAAGGGACACAGGAGGCAACTGTCTCTCCCTACAGCAGGGGATATAAGATATGGAGCTTTGGGGGTTTTCTTAAAGGATGCTGGGGCCACCCCAATTTCTAGTCAGCAAGTAAATTCATCAGGCCCCTGAGAGGTATGGCATCTGGGCCTGGGGGGTGGGTATGTTATAGTGGCCTGAGTTCCTAGACATCCTGCCCTGGTGGTGGGCCTCAGGCTGAAGGACCAATTGATGGTTAGACATGCTAACCCACCCCAGCATGTTGCTCTGCCCTCAGTACTGGAGTCCTGAGAGCTGAGGGTTCCTGGCATCTCCTGTGTGTGTAAGCCTGAGGAGAGGGGTGCTCCTGGCCTCACCTTGGGAAACGTCAGCCACCACTGGAAAGCCTCCATGAAGTCAGGCCCAGCTTTTTCTCGTAATGGCTTGGGTGAGGGCCATGGCCTGGGGGTGGAAGTGTGGATGGTCAGGGGAGAGCGGACACTCTGTTGCTTCCAGACTCCCTCCTTTATCTGCTAATGAAAAGGCAGGAGCTGCTGGGAGGCTGCCCTGCCAGGCACACAGCAGCTAGAAGACGCCTGGCTGCTAAGTGGGGCTGAAATCCCAAGGAAGTTCCCTGGGACACCAGCACTGGCTAGAGGGATGGGATTTGGCAGTTTTCTGCTCAGGTAGGGTCATTGTTTCCCTTCTGGGACCAAGGCAGTTGTTCAGGGAGACTTCGTGCCACCTCTTGAGTAGGTATGGCTTAGGTTGTCCCTGTCCCTGTCCCTGTGACTCTAGCTCTCTCCTGTGCCCAAGGAGGTGGCCAGGAGCTCAGCAGCTTGTCCCTGGGCCAGCCCTGGCTGTAAATAGGATGGGGAGAGGTGTTGCCTGAGTCACCAGTGCCCTCCTGAGCTCTCCTGCCATGCCCTGGGGTCTGCAGTTTTGTGGGAGTGGGTAGCTTTGGGGACATAATCATTTTCTCTCAGGAAGGTAGACATGGGAGTTACCTGAGCCTGGGCTGCAGCCCAGTGAGACAGATGGAGCACCAGGTCAGGACACTAGATTTCTAGGTGGTACTCTGCCATTCAGTGCTCTTTAACCTTTCACTCCATGAGCAAACAGCCACTGAGCAGATACTGTGGGCCAGGCCCTGAGGATTAACAAGACAGACATTCTCCTTGCCTCACAGGTTTTGAAGAATCAAATGAAACATGGGCAGTAGAAACGTAAAATAGAATGTGCCTCACAAACAAGGTCATTCCTGCTGTGGGGAGCAGATAGAGGCAGCGAGGGAGGCAGAGTGGGAGGGGTGGAAAGCAGAGCCCCTCTTGCTCCACTCTGGGCTGGAGCCCCCAGATCGCAGAAACTGCCAGGCAAACGGCTGCTAGAGCTCCAGCATAGGGGAGCCCTCGGCAACGCCCAGTTTGTACAGCAGAGGGCGGCAAGGGGCCCGCCAGTCTGGGAAGCAGCTGTGAAATGTGGTGGAGGCGGCGGCGGGGACAGGGAACGGGAGCATTGAAGAGACAGGGAGCATGGTCCCTGGGATCAGCCTTTTCTTGGATATGCAGGTGTCGCCTCCCACCCACTCCTTTGGAAGCCTAGCTGGCTGACAGACGCTCAGCCTGACTTTGTCCATCAGTTAGGGCACTTTTGCCCCTGACACCCCCACTGTCTGTCTCTGGGTGGTTTGACTGTACCTTGTGGCCCTGATGTGGGGCAAGTGGCCACTCTGAGAGAAGGGACCCACAGCCGTGTGTGTGTGTGTGTGTGTGTGCGTGAGAGAGAGAGAGAGAGAGAGAGAGAGAGAGAGAGAGAGAGANGAGAGAGAGAGAGAGAGTGAGAGAGTGAGAGAGTGAGAGTTGTACTGGTCTGAGGAAAGGGTTTAAGCGATCTGCTGCACTTAGACCATGATTTGCCCAGCCTGGCCCATGCTCTCAGACTTACTCAGAGCTTTGTTGCCGCCTTTCTTCCTGGGTGTAGGAGAATGTACACCAGAGGTGTCTACACTAGCCAGGTGGGTGAGACCCCAGGGGCGCAGAAAACCCAGAACTTCCTGCTGATTGCAAGATGCCCTGTTACTGATGGGCTGGCTTGTCCCCCAACATTCTCAAAAGTGAGCTTGTAGAGATGAACTGCTTGGGGGTGTGAGGGAAGGTTTGAGGAGACCTGGAGACCAGGGGCTGTGAACTGAAACACCAGGGCTGCAGGAGGCTGCTTCCCTGCAGTCCTAGAGGTGGTGGTAGCAGCTGGCTGGGCCCAACCCTTCCAGCAGTTGCAATTAGAAAAGTGGGTGAAGGTGACAGCAAGTGCCTGGCTTCTCAGGTAAAGATGCTACGTGACTCCTGGCACGTTGAGTGTGTTTCCTGGGCGACCAGCTGCGCCAGGGACAAGGAGAGGACAGGAGTGTGACAGGAATGCAAGGGAGGGAGGGAGGCAGTGCTGTTGGCTGGCTGGTCCCCCACATGCCACTTTGGTACTCCACCAGCACCCTGCTGCCCCCACCCAGTTTGGCCTCTGTATCTTTCTAGAATCCTTGTCCCTGCCAGTTTCTCCTTGCTCTGTGCCCTGGGGATCAGGGGGTGTAGTCCCTGCTGATGAGCCTGGGCCCCTTCATCTACTGGAGGCAAGAGATGGCCAAACCCTCGGTAGGCAGGCTGGTGCAAGGGAAGGTCAGGACCGAGCCCTTCCTGGGGTGTGCCACGGACCAGGTGACAGTGAACTGATGAGTGGTCTAGGCTGGGGGCACTCCGTGGAGGGTGCAGGCTGCCCTCCCTGGGTAAGCAGAGAGGAGTGAGGCAGAGCCTGACCTTTCTCAGTTCAAGAGGGCAGGGAGGGACTGTCCCTAGATGATGTTCTGGGCACTGGTGAGGGTGACTAAGGGGGTTCTGCTGTTGGCCAAAGGCTGAATGCAGTGCACTGGAAACAGTGTGTTCTGTCACACCCCTACTTCCATTAGCCCCAGAGGCAACCTGTTTTCTGGAATGAGCAAATAGGAAAGCAGCAGGTTAGAGCCTCTAGAACTCTTGAGGGCAGGCCTGAGAGGTGGAGGATCTCAAGTGCCTGGAGAGGGCAGTTGTAGAAGCTAGGGGAAAAACTCCTTCCTTTTTTGGACAAGAAAGGCCCCCTTCACAGGCAGTGCCCAAGCCAGAGCTCTAGAAACCGAGACCCTCTTTCTTGATGCCATCTGGCAGGCACTGTGTATGCCTGGGGGAGTAATCAGGCCCACACTGTGGCTTCCACTTCATCCTCTCACGCTTGGGTGGTGGCACTTGGTGCAGGCCACTGCAGTATGGAGACAGGCTCTAAGCCACCTCTCCCGAGCAAGCCAGTGCCAGCTGACCTACATGCACACAGAAAGCTCTGGCTGTGACCTGGGCACGTGACGGCACCGAGTAGGGCTGAGCTGATACCAAGGTGGGGGTTTGTGGTGGTTGGGTCTCTTGGATGCAGGGTGGGTGGGGAGTGGACTGTAAGGCTGTTGGGTGTGGAGTGACCAGGGTGGGCCATGGTCGGAGGTAGCCTGTGGGAAGCTGGGGTGGTAGGAGCCAAGCAGCCGGGCTGAGCTGGCAGCTGATGAAGGCCTCAGCACAGCTCTCAGTGCATCACTGGCTGGTCTGACACCAAAACCTTCAAAGAATTGGCTTTTCTGGCAGGGCTGTGGCTGGGCCAGGGAGAGGCCTCCATGCGCAGGGGAATACAAGCTCCAGATCTGCATCCAGAGGCGATTTTCCCAGGCTCCTTCCTCCCACACAGCACTCCCTCCCTTGGTTCTGGAGCTGGATCAGGCCCTACCCGCCAAGTCCTCATGGCTGCACAGCTCAGCCTGGGGCTGGGCTGTTCCTGTCTGGGGAGCAAAAACCAGGGCAGAACCCAGGATAGACAAAGGCTCATTAGCTGCAGCCCAAGTCCCCTCCCACTGAGGATGGCTCCCAGTTTACCAGCTGCCAGCAAGGGCTATTGAGCTGGGAGGCCCAAAAGGGCCAAACTTCTGTGTGAGCCCCTGGTCAGGTCTAATCCATCTCAGGGACAGGCTTCTGGGATTGGGGGGGAGAGGGCAAAACTGCAAATAAGGGAAACTGCACCAGGACTGAAGGTCACTGGTGATTACCCCAAGTACAGAGTGAGAGGGAACCTGGAGTCTCCCCTAGCTACATCCCAACTGCCCCCTGCCTGTGCAATCAGCTTCCTCCCTCAACCTTTAACTAGACTTGCTGACAGGAACAACACAGATGGGTGTGAGTTTCCCCCCTTTTCAAGGACTGGGAGCCCTACCTACTGCCTGCCTCTTCCCCAGGGTCCTGGAGCATCCAGATGGAGAGAGGCAATGCCCTGGTGGTGCTGCGCAGCCTGCTCTGGCCAGGTCTCACCTTCTACCACACTCCCCGCACCAAGAACTATGGCTACATCTACGTAGGCACTGGGGAGAAGAACTTAGACTTGCCCTTCATGTTGTAGGAGAGGGGCCAGCATGGGGTTTTTGTAGTCTAAACACTTTTCATAAATGTTAGTGAATTTGGTCTGTTTGTTCTGTTCTGCTGCTTCTCTTCATCCCCACCTCCATCTGGTGTCCAGGCTCTGAGCAGAGGCCTCCTGAGCTGGGAGACCCAGATCTCAAGCAAGTGGCAGAGGGTTAACAAGATGGTGGGTGGTACAGGCTGTGGCAGAAGGTGACAGCCTGGAGCCCTCTGAGGAAGGCAGCAACTTCTTGGACTCACATGAGAGATGTACACGGGCCAGTTGGCCCAGCTCACCTCCTGGTGCAGCCCTCCCAGGCCAAAGAGCTAACAGGTGTCAATAGAGAGGATAGGAACCCTCTGGTCGTATCCAGGTGGCCCATCACAAGAGATCAGTGACTTAATGCTTAGGAAATGGTCGGAAACAGGCCCAAGTCCCCTGTTCCCAAGCAGTGAGCACACACCCAGTGGGTGAGCACACGAGCCTGGTTTATGACATTTCTTTGGGCAAAACTTGTGTCCTCCAGCAGTTAGCATGGCCAGAGCCAGCCATGCAACCACGGCAGCTGCCAAGGGACCACCTGCCCTGCCCACTCCCAGCTTCCCAATGCAGTTTCTTTGCAGGCCCCTTGTGCCATCTGTGGAGAAGCCAGGCCACCTCCATCCTGGCAGGATGAGACAGGAGACCAGGAGGAACTCTGGCCAGGCTCTCAGGAAGCCCCACTCTCAGTCAGTGATAGAGCACCAAAGGCCTTCTGGAGTAGGAGACGTTGTCTTTCAGGAGGGGTGAGCCCACAGGCATGCGCACCTTGTTCCAGCGGCGGCCTTTATTGTAGATGGGTTTGATGGAGTGGGGAGACCAGCGGGTCAGGTACCTGTGGAGGGAGCCCACGGAGGCGCTGTGAGGTTGGGAGCCCATGCCTGATCTGGGAGAGTAGGCACAGCTCCTTCAGGCCAAAGCAAACCTTCAGGCCAACCAAACCCTTTCACCAGTTTTCCTTTCCTGAGGAATAAGGGCTTTTCCTGGGAGCAGTGGCTGCGTGTGCTGTAGACACGCGAACGGGCTCTGGCTGCTGCGAGCGTGTGTGGCCAGGGTCATGCAGCCCAGGGCCACGCGCTCCCTTGATCTTTATGAGTTGTCAATGTTTGTGTGTATTTGCTGGGGGAGGCGGAGGAAGAGGCTGCTCCGAGAGCATATCATTCCTCTCTGGCCTCAGTCATGGGGCGAGGAGAGGCTGATGTAAGGGCCGGGAGGAATCCTTCCCTCTTCCCCACTTGGCTCCCCTTTGCCCTTTCAACCTTTAGGGAGCTCCCTTGGGCAGCCATAACTGGTGTAGGACCCCTGACCCTCACCTAACCCATGACGGAAGCCAAGGGTGAGGGCCCATGGGTGCAGACCTAGCCCAGGAAGGTTCCTGTAAATAGGAGGGGGGTGGGGAATGATGGCTGCCGCCCACAGTCCTTTGGCCTCCTTTGGGGATGGCCAGGGCCTTGATGGTTCCCGGAAAAGTAGCTCATGCCGGCTGGGACTGGGGTTTACTCCATCCAGAATGAAACTTGGATTCTGTCCAGAGAGGCCCACCCTTTGTCCTGAAAGCTCAGCCATGGCAAAGGCCAGGATCCTTCCCTGCCTCTATTCTAAGTTGAGGCTTAAACCAGCTGCCTCTAGACCCTACAATGAGAGGCTTTTTAATTAAAAAAATTAACTGCCTTGGCTGAAAACCTGCAGATGAAAGTGAAAATAACAACTGCTGATTTGTACATTTCAACTGAACTCCCTTGGACCCCAGTCTTTTGGTCTCAGCCCTGTGTAGAGGGAAAAGTTCTGAGAGGAAGTAGGACATGCAGGAAGTGCTGGGTTACACTCCAGGTGTGAGCTGGGCAGGGAGGGGAGAACCCTCCACATCTACTGTGGATGGCGCCCCCAACGGGAGATACGTGGAGTGGGTCAGCCCCAGGGACAGCTCTGTATGTGGCTGGTGGCACTGGGGCAGCAGAAGGTGAAAGGGAGGAACACCCCTGGCAGGTCCCTGTGCCGATACTGCCCAGTCTTCAGAGGGGGTGAGTGAAGAGGTGGGGTGTGGGAGCCGGTTTCCCAAAAAAGTGCTAACTGGGATTCAAGGAGCCCAAAAGACCCGAGACTGACCAGGTTCTCCAGAGCTGCTGCCCTGGAAAGACCTGGGGGAGGGGGAGGCTAGGCTTCAGCCAGCCCTGGGCCTTGTGCCTGTGCCACATGGAGCAGCTAGCTGGAGGCGGGGACAGGGGGGTAGCAGACAAAGGAGGAAGCATGGCTCCCTGGCGCCTGGCAGAGCGTGGGCTAGTGCTCGGCAGCTCGAGGATCTCTGGATGAAATGATAAAGAACCTTGCAAGGGCACAAGGCAATCAACCTCCCTTGCAGCCGGACCCCAGCCCTGCTCCCCTCCCTCCACCCCAACCCTGGCCTTTTCCAACGCAAGAGCCCCCCACACATCATCAATACTGTGTCATGTTAAAGGACACCAGATATATGGGAGGGAGCCTGGCCTCACTTCAAAGGCCTGAGGGCGGGATGGACTGTGTCCTCAGGCCTACCACTGTCTCTCAGCAAGTCAGAGCAATGGTGGGCTCAGCCACCAAGCAGGCCAGAGCACATCTGGGAATGACAGGAAGAGGTTAATATGTTCTGCTGCTCCAGGGCTGCTGGCAGATGGCCCGCTAACAATGTGGGAGGTGCAGGTGGAGATGGGCATGGGGCCAGAGTGATGGTGAGGCATCGTGAAGAGCCAGCCCTGGCCCTGCACCCCCAGCCAAGCAATCTGTGGCTGGTTTTACAGACACGATCTATTCTCAATAGGAGGCCATAGGAATATGTGAGTGGGGTAATGTCAGAGATAGGGGGAAAAGGAACTCACAGAGGATGACTGCAATATTAGCCAGGAATCTGCTCCTATACCAGATGGGCCAGCCTACTTAGGCTGAAAGGCAGACTGATCGATTCCAGGATCTAGGGGCCTCCCTGTCCTTCTCTACAAAACCTCAGGACCTTCCAGACCACCTCATGTGGCTGTGCAGGTTGTTAACTGCACAACTCTAGGCAACACCATTTGCCACATAGTCTATGTGGATGCTAAAGTTCTACAGTTAGCTAGTGACTTGCAGCTATACTGTGGCCTACCCCAAAGTCTTCCCATATCTAAGGCCTCATTTTGCCCTTTAATAACCCCAGTGCTGGGATCCTGAAAGTTTATAGGAATGCTCTGACATTCCCATAGCAATGTGGTATGATGTCATAAAAAGGGATTAGCACACACTAATGTCCAACTAGCATTACCCTCCTGCCCCTGTGCTAAGTGCCCTACTGGGGAGCAAAGAGGCTGAGACCAGCAAGGGCGGGTGACAGGCATGCATAGTACTAACTGCAGAAATGGTGGGGCTGACACGGGTGAGTGCTCAAGCTGGAAGGGCCGGACCAGGCGGCCACAGCAGCTCAGCTTTCCTGAGCTATGGCATGAGCACCACTGAAGCGGCCCCCAGGGGAACACAGTGAGAGCTGCGGGCCTCAGAATGCGCACAGTGCTGACACCCAGGTGTGCTTACCGGTTAAGTTGAGGTTTGCTCTTCGGAACAAATCCTTCAGGGAGCTGAGGTCTGTGATTTGGGAGCAGACCTGAGTGGAGGGAAATGCCTATAAGGGGCTGGTCTCTGTAGCTCCCTCTGCAGCTCGAGGGCCAGAGAGAAAACCCAGGGTAGGAGGTTAGCATTGAGGGTGAGTATAATGAAGACTGGCTGTCCACTTCTCTTCTAGAAGGGGCTGCAACATGGGGCAGCTGGAGGGGGCAGGGTGGTAGGGTGGCATCCACAGCCCTCTGCCCATCTTGGCCCTGAGAGGGCCTTCTACCTTCTCGGTGGGCCATCTTCACACACTCCTCAATCTTGCGGTGCTCCTCCTGGCAAAGGCCTGTGATCCTTCGGGGCAGCATGCCTCCGTGAGGCCGGATGAACTGACTGAGCAGTAGAACATCCTGGTGGAAATAGAAAACAGGAGATGAGGTCAGCGGGGTGGGTGTTAATGCTAGGGAGCCAGGGCCACATGGCCATAGGGGAGACCACCACCTCTCAGGCTCCAAGAGGCAGTCATCTCCCTTGGGAACTGACCTGAACTCACTCCCTCCATAGAGAGCTCTGTACACTGGTGTGCTACCCTTACCCTAACAAAAGGGCTAAATCCCAACTTGGCCAGATTTTCTGGCCCCATTACCAACCGCGGAGCTCCCAGCTCCTCCATGAGATAACCTCCTGACAGAGGGGCTGAAGGAGAGAACTCTTCAAGAAGTGTGACCAATCTTTTGTGCACCTGAAGTTATCTTTCCTGGTATTGCAAAGTCCTGGGTGAAGTAGGGAATATGACATGTATTTCCACACAAGAGGGAAAACCTGTACCATTTCCACCCCAGAGCCAACAGGCCATAAGCCAGAACACATGCAGACAGCCCTCCACCTTCTGCCGTTCCCTCAGAGGTACTGAGGAGGAAGGAACCGGCAATGTCAAGTTAAACCACATCTTCTAAGCCCACTGCAGTTGGATATGAAAGATTCTGTGGCTTCCTTTGGGCCATCATACTGCTCTGGAGGAGTCATGGAAACACGGATAAACCACTTTCCCTCCCAACTCTCACAGGATGGCAGAAGGGGTTAAAAAAAACCAGTGTCTCCCACCCTGCCCACCCCCAACCCCTAGGGTTGGCCAGCCTTAGCAGTCTTGTTCCACAATCCAACCTGCTCCCCTGGTAGGCACCTAGCTGTGTGAGTGCAGCTTTGTCTGCATCACCAGGCAGCTCCTGAGGGACCCAGGCCCCCAAATCCCACCCCGGTACTCTAGAATCTGATGAAAAGAACTTGGACTGGATTAACCAAGGTAATAAACTGGGCTCACAGCCCCCCCCCCACCGTAGGCTGCCAGGCAAGCCGGCAGTTTTATGTAGCTCAGGCTAATGGTGTCCTGAGTGGAAAGGGGTAAAAGGAAAACAAATTTAGCCTTTACCTCGGAGAGGATTGGATTTCTGCTGCTGGGTAAACAAAGCTAAGTCCATTTCCTGGAAACAGCTGGTAGGAAGAGTGCCACATGGTGGCCAGGCGGGTGTGGGGTTCACCTCCCTATCTTCCAGCTGGGATTCCAAGTATGGCCATGACCCCACTGACTTCCATGTCAAAATAAGCTGTGAACAGTGCCCCGTGGCCTGTGAGCTTCCGATTCCTCCAGGCAGCCATCAGCAGAAGGGCCAGAGCAGAGTGAAAGAACCTCCTCCCTCCACCCCCTGGGGTGGCCCAGAGCCAAGGCTCCCAGCCCAGGAGATTAGTTGGGTCATTCTGTTCAGATCCCATGGGCATGTGGCCTTTCCTGCTCTTACCACCTGACAGGGATCTCGGCCCTTAGTCATCCCTTTCCACAGAGGAGCACAGAAACAACTTGCAGGTCGAAGTGGCCCAGAGCCTCAATCACCTGAAGCCTAAAAATAGGGTGCTAATGTCACCAATAGAACTCTGAAGCACAAGTATGGATTTCTCCAGGGCTGTGCCCTTTCCTGGGGCTTCCTGATTTCTACAGAGGATGTAGAGTGGTAGTTGGGATCATAGGCTCTGAGTGGGTTTTATATCCCCAGAGTTTATATCCCAGCTCTGATACTGATTAGCTGAGTGATCTGAGGCAAATTCATTAACTTCTCTGTGCCTCAAATGTCCTCATCTGTAAAACAAGGATGAAAAAAAATACCTGCTTCCTAGGGATTTTGTGAAAAACTAAGTGAATTAAGACATGTAAATGCTTACAACACTGTCTGCCCAGAGCATGCACTCAATGCAGGTTTCCTGATGTTACTCAGTGTCATCTTGCTGTGAAAACACGTCTAGAAGAGTTAGAGCAAACAGGGTTTCTGCAGCTCCAATAGGAAAGAGACAGAAATGAGTCCCCAGATCACACAGAGAACTCTCCAAATATTTTATTCCACCCCCTTGGGAACACAACCCAACAAGACTGGGTTACAGGGCTCTGGTGCTCTGAATTGCATACACCCAGACCATTAACTAAGTTGGTGACTCGCAACCTTGGCTGCAATTACAATCACCTGGGGAGCTTATTTAAAAACTAATGATGGCCAGGCTCCACCCAAGACCAAATGAACGAATGGCTGGGTGTGGGGCCTGAGCACGTTTTTTAAAGCTCCCCCATGCAGCCAAGGTTGAGAGCCACTAAACAAAACGATTCTTTTTTTGGTAGCTCCATGAGATGCAACAGCGGCTATTGGGGGGTGGAGGGTGCTGCTTAAGGTGACCAGGAATATGTCCTCTGTGACATGCACAGCCAAACGTCTTTGTGCAGACTCACCTCATAGCCATACACGTGCTTCAGGTTCCACCGGCAGATGGGGCACTGGCCAGAAGGATTAGGGGGGTTTGGACTTTCCTGGGGAGTCTCTGTGATATGGCCTTCAATCTAGGAGGCAGAGAAAGAGAGCCAGTAAGGGAGAGGGCTGTGTGGAGCCTCTGATTCTTGAGCAACCCCAAAATGATGGGATGCTGATAAAAGTGCATCTCTGGGGGCCTCACAGAAGTAGCTAACAAGTGTCTCCACCTGAACCATGGTGGTTGCTCTGAGGCTGCTGAGCCTACTGGGCCTTGGAGTGGCCAGAGAGATGTGGTTTGGTGGCCTGCAAGGGTAGTGGAAACTGAACTGAATGCTGGTGATAAGGGTGGAGGTTTGCTCCATCAGCTGAATGCTACCTTTCCTTCCTCAAAAAAAAAAAAAAGAAACACCAGCACATTATGCTTTCCTCTCCCTGCTTTGGGAAAAAAGTAATAAGTGCACATGGTAAAAAGGTTCAACTGTGCAGGGATGTGGAGTCCAAAGGAAGTCTCCGTCCCATCCACATATCCTTCTCTGAGGAAACTGCAGTTTCCAGCTTTATCTTAACAGAGATAAATCTATGTCAGTGGTTCTCAATCAGGCATGACTTTGCCCTCTGGGGAATACTGGACAATGTCTGAGACATTTTTGATGGTCATAAGTAGGGGACGGAGCTCTACTGGCATCTGGCAGGAAAGCCGTTAACCATCCCACAACACACAGAACAGCCCCTGCGACAAAGAACTGAATTAGCTGCCCCAAATGCCAGAGGTGTGCAGCACAGAGACCCTGGTCTATGCCCATATAAGCAGGTATCTATGTGCACTCTAGCTGCCGTTTTTTTTTCCATTAAGGTATCATTAATATACAATCTTATGAAGGTTTCACATGAGCAACATTCTGGTCAGTACATTCATCCATATTATCAAGTTCCCCCACACCCAACTACAGTCGCTGCTGCTCTTTTTGAAAAGACAGATGGGAGGATACATTCTCCTATCCTCTTTGCTTTTAACCACCTTTCAAACCCTGCTGAGGCCACGTGTGAAGTGACCTCCACCATCTCTGCTGTATCCAGTGCCTTGCACAGCCTTGGAATTTACTAAGTCCAAGAAACCAATGATCTTGGAGTCAGCTCCAATTGCAAGAGGGGGAGTTCAGAAAGCCCTGCTGATTGAGGCCATGGATTATGAGTGACGATGGGGTTTGGGAGGCAAGCAACACTATCTCCTGGGGCAGAGGGGGGGACTGGCAAAATGTAAGGAGAGCTGGAAGCAATGCTTCCAGGGCACTGCTACCTAACTTTCTGCCAAGGCCACAACTTTGCCAGAAATGGAGAAGTGTCAGGGAAAATGGGTAGCTTTGTGGTAGGCCTTGGGAAGGAATTAAGGTGGGCCTGGGGGAGAAAGCTAACCTTTATTGACTTCCCACTACATGCTTGGCTCTCTGCTGGTAGCGGTTCACACATACCATCTACTTTCAGCCCCATGAGGTAGTGAGGGAGGCATCATGATCTGCTTTTATAAATGAAGAAAAGTGAGCCCCCAGAGAGTGAGCAGAACCCAAAGTTGGCCATGGCAGTGCCTCTCTGGGCCTGGATGGGCTTCTCTCCCCAAAAGGTTCTCCTACTGCTGCAACATTTCCAAGTTCATTGTACAAATAGCAAAGTCACACCCCACATGAAGAACTCTCTTCATACTCAAAAGCCAGATGTTTCTCTCCACTAGCACGGAGTTTATAGGGTGAATGCTTGTTTCAGGTTTGAATAAGGGAGCTAAAAAAGGTGCCCTAAGGGGATGGGGGGCTCCCTAAACAGAACTGTCTTGAGAGTAAACAGTGAAAAGGCTGAGGGGAGTATCCTGGGGGAGACCCAAAGAGGGAATTTTCAGGGCTTGTCCTGGGGACAAGACTGCCTTGGGAAGGACAGAGCATCGTTGGCTGCCAGAAGGGTTAAACTGCTGGTTGACATGGAAGTACAGAGGCTTCTGGGAGCTCTGTGGAGTTGAGGATTTCCTGGAGGCATGGAAGGCCATGTGGAAACAATGCTGAATTTAGGGATTATAGGATAATCTTGGCCCCATGACTCCCTGAGGAAGGGATGTAAAATGGGCCCAGTGAGGGAAAGTGGGGAGTGGGTGGATGAAGAATCATTCTAGCTTTTTACTAAGTCAAGCCAAGGTGCCAGCAAGTGAGCCCAGTGCCAAGAATGTCACCTTTTAATGACATCACTTAAGGAGCAGCATAGCCATTCCAGGCAGAAAGGAAAGGAGCTGAGATCCTGGTTCCTGGCCCTGGGTCAACCTGCTCTAGCTGTCAAGTCCTGCCATTGCCTTAGTTTCCCCTTTGGAAAACTGATTTATCACTGCCAAAAATCATTTCAGCAAAGAGCTCTGAGACCTTGTCATAGAAAAGGCCACTGTAATCAAATAACAGATGCCTCAATCCAGGCACAGGGACTGTTCCTGGTTAACCAGACTATGGCATATAACCTGAAAAATAGTAAGATTGTGGGACTTATGGTGACAGAGGGAGTGGATCCTGGAGCCAGAAGTACAGTCTGGGTCTCCCTCCCTCAGAGGAGTAGCCAGGCAGCTCCAAGAGTTAAAGAGGTTGTAAGTGGCCAACTCGATGATACTTACTACAGTCGTCTTCCCTTCCTGGATCTCCACCACTACAGAGATAAAGGGGAAAAATCAGATCAGCCATTTAATAAGGAACAGGAAGTTTTAAATAACAGCTCAAATTCTACACATGCAGAAAAAGGGAGCCTGCAGTATGCACTTTCCTATGGTCTCCAGCTGGGAGAGAAAGTGTTCACTTCCAAGTGCCAAGGTTCTATGTCCTTGAGGCTGGGTGGGGGCAAGCTCAGATGCCCAAGTAATATCCTCTCTCTAGGATGAAGGGTCTCCACAGTATTTTTGCCTTTCTAAGCCAAAATTCACATTGGTTGTATCTAAGCGAACAGGCAAGGTCTGACCTTACTGTGGCTATCAATGACTACCTAAAAGTTGGGGCAGAGGGAAGCATCTAAAAGGCCTTCAGAAGTACCCACTGTGTGTGGCCTTTCATGAAGAGAATCAGACAAACATGGCATCTGACCTTGAAGAATTTGCAATCTAAGATACAGCTCTGAACTAACACTGCTCCAGTGAACCCACGGTGGATAAGCAGAGACAAATTCACTCCTAAAACTCATCCTGAGTGCCTTGTGGTAAAGCTGTAGGGACAGCTATGTGAATTAAATCCTCTTCTCTTCTCTCTCTGTGGGGTTGTGTATCTACACGAAAGTGGGGTGATGGGAGAGAGAGGAGTAAAGGACCTGTAGATACTGGGTCAAGGCAGAACTTCAAGGAGAGCACTGCATTCCCAACTGAAAGGGATCCCTCAGCTCTTTGCCTATTTAAGTCTGAGGTAGTCAGAAGAGAACTAGGGGGGAAGATACTAAGTTGCACATGATGCGTCACACTGTATTTCCTATCTTACTTAAAACAGGATGCAGAGTGACAACTTCAACAATACTCAAAGGAAGAACCAAGCTAATAGCCCATATTCAGCAAATACAGTAAAAAAGAAAGTTCTTGGGAGATTCTTCCTTGTTCACCCAGTTTCTTTAGAAAGTGAGAAGCCATAGCTGTTAGCACAGGAACTGGCATCCAGTAGTTGCTCAATAAATGCTAGCTGGCTTTTAGGGAGAAAAATACTTGCCATGGTCCCCTTCTGACAGCTAATTACTGTGATAGAAAACTTGGGCTTTCAAGGTAGGCTGCTCCCCAAGTACTAAATATAGTAAACAGTCTCCCCAAATACTAAAATCCTATTTTAACAGCAGCCTGACTACCACAATTAGTTTTACTTAGCTATAGCCATGGCAAGAATTAGTACAGAGCCTAAGATTGAGAATCTGGTGGAAGTTATGGATCTCTCCCTAGAAACAAGTCTATAAGCATACATAGTTAGGGATTTCTGGAGGCTCACAGCCCCTTGAAGTTACTACCTAAATGGTAATACTGGTCTTCTCTCAGTGGTGGCAAAAAGGTGATTTTAGTTTATTCTTTAAGCCTCTCTGTACTTTCTAAAAGTTTCTAAAATAAACATGTGCTGCTTTTGAAATTAAAAATAAACAATAAAAAGAAAGAGAACATCTAAGAAAAAAAGTGAGACAATCTAACCCAGCCAGAGGCCACAGCAGCATCTCTGATCACTGAGCTCTGTGACTAACACATAACTGGACACAGACTGCCTGGACTTGTCCCCCATTTGTTTCTGAGCAAGGCCATTCATTCCTCCAAAACATATAACCGCAGAGCCCCTCAATGTCCAACTCCCAGACACAAAAATGTAACAATGGCCAGAAAGACCCTGAGGCCTTCTTCAGAGGACACTGTACTTACTAATCAATTTAAAGACAAACTAGATTTCTCACTGTAAAAGAAAATGTATCACCCTACACATGGATCTACTTGTTCATAACAGAGACCAGCCTAAAAGCTATGTGGGTGAAACAACCTGGTGCTCAGTCTGGAGGCCAGCACAGCTGCAGGGGGACAGTCACTGCCATGTGCCAACCTACAAACATGGGGAAGCCGCAGCCCGTTTTCCAGGCACCACGGAAAATGCAAATTTGCAATAACCAAGTGAGAAGAGCGGGTCACAAATCTGAGCAGCAATAGCAAGGGAAAAGTTTTTAAGAATCTCAGTAGGAAACAAAAGGGGACACATTCGGTACAGCTCCAGTCAGCCTGAGAACAATGCCCTGAAACACAAAGCAGATAAACACGTGGCTCCCCTCTCTGTGGAGGCACTTGGGTCCTAACTATGAGGTAAACAAATCTAATAAAACACACATCACTCCCGGCAAAGAACCAAACCCTGAAGTCATCCCACTGGCCCCTGGAAAAGAGATCAAAGCCCATGGCAAGCTCCCCACACAGCAACTCTGAGCCAGTGAATCATCTTACTCTAAGCCTGTGGGTAAAACAATAGGCAGATGCTTATCTCATAGAGACAATTTGTCAAACTAGAAGGAATGAGCTGAGCACTCATACAAGACTGAGATTGATCAGGGTGGTGTCTCTGCACCAGCAGAGGGCCTGGCTGGAGCCGGAGAGGTCCTAGTCAATTTTAAGCCTCTGAAAAACAGGAGATAGGAATCAAAATAGTATTGATTTTCAGTGTGCATACAAAAACATTACAAAACCAAACAAAACTTGAGATCCATGTGTCCCTGACCACCTCCATTAAAGAGAAGTAGGGGTGGCTGAGAAAAGCTGGACTAAGAGACTTAGGCACTGAGAGAAAACTTGTTTAGAAAAAGATAGAATCACCCTTGTGTTCTGAGATATGGCTCTATCAAGTAAAGTAAAAAAAGATATGAGGCAGTTTTCTAAACTAGAATTAAGGGCTAAAAATCTTCTAAGACAGGGACTTCTCATTCACGTCACATAATCTGTCCTACATGAGGCAACACATCTGCTGAGCACCCGTGGAGGGTACAGCCCATGGAGAGTTACAACAGGATAGAAGACAGTCTTCGCTCTAGAGGAGAAAAGGGAAATGAACCAAGTATGGGAACCTCACTATAATAAAGTCTATGCCTCGTAAAGAGGTCCTCTGAGTACTTCAGTAAATACTGGCCTAGGATGGAATCCAAGATAACTGAATTATAAGAGCCTAGAGCAAACAGCATTGTGGTGAGACTGCAGTGAATGCAAAAAGACTGTGATGGCTGCATAAACACAGGCTCAATGAACTGCAGCAGAATAAAGACCCAACTGTTTAGTAAAGTAGGAAGTGAGGGAAGATGAATGATGAGTGGAGGGAGCTGCTTCAGGAAGTGCCCAGGACCAAGGCCCTCCTCGGAAGGAGTCCATGGAAGCCAAATCCCAAGCACAGTATGAAGAAATGGAGTAACAAAATGGCATGACGACTAAAGGTGGCACCAACGTCTTAGTGGGGTCAGGGGGTGGAGGACGCGTTTGCGATACATGGCTGCACTGTGGGCCATCCACTGCTTTTCTCACACTCCTTCCTCGCTCAAGCACCGTTCCCTTCTGTTCATTTTTAATTCTACCAATGACGTTTTCTGATTCTCTCATCACCTACCCTCTTCTTTTGCATTGGACACCTGAGGGGATGTCCCTGTGCCCTGTGCTTCAGAACAAGGAGTCTCACTGCTGCACAAAATCTTTTCCACTACGTTACTCTGGACTATGCCCCCAACTCCTCTCTCAGAGTTTTTAGCTATGGGGCTGCCCATCTTGTCAGGCACTGCTTTGTCTGAAATGCTAGGAAAAGATGAAGAAAATTCCCTTCTTAGCTAACTAGAAAAGATGAAGAAAATTCCCTTCTGCCTTTACTCATTTCGACACTCTCTTCTCTGAGTGTCTGATAGGTCATTACTGTAAATTCAGATAGTCATGTGTTTTCTTGTTTTAAAAATATTTCCTTCACTAGGGCTCTACGAATGATAAGGCAGGAATGAGGTCTAACACAATCTTTGCTAAGTCTGGCAGTGTCAACTATAAAAGTGAGAAATGGTCTTGAGCAAGTTAACTGCCTAGAGCTTTCAGTGACAGGAGGGAACCACAGGGAAGCCCCACCCTGGAGCACCAAGTGGACATCTGGTGGAGGGAAGAGTGCTGGCTCTACCTCCACACCACTGACGCTGTGCGGTGCTGGGCAGCTACTGAACCCCTCGGGACTGATTTCCTCACCAGTAAAAACATTAGCACTACCCAGCTTTAAGGACTGAGAAGACTGAATAACTGTATGTGGAAATCCTAGCATAATGCTTGCAGCTTAGAAAGCCACAATTTCTATTCTTTTCCTTCAGCCTTGCTTCTTCCATAATAATTTTTTTTGGCTTTGGGTCCCTCTTGTCAAGGTGCAGACCAGGCTTTCCTGACGGCAACACAACTGACATTTCGGGTCAGGTGGTTCTTTGTTGTGGGGACTATCCTGGGCACTGTTAAGATGTTTGGGAGCATCCCTGGCCTCTTCCCCCAAGATCTTGGGAGTACTAACTGTGACAGCCAAAAACTGCTCTAGACTTTGTCAAAAGTTCACTGGCAGACAAAAGGGTCCTCCCCGCTTCCAAAATGAGATCTACTGCTTTAGACCGAGTCTCCACAGGCGGGAGCACTGGTGCTGAGTGCTCACGACCTCTGATCAAACCTGAAGTAGTACTTCTGAAACTGCAAACTAAGATATTTGAATATTTTCAGCAAGACACCCAGCTTCCTCCTCACAACTTCAAATTCTATGTGTACATGATTTGGGTGTCAAAGATACCAGCTGGGACCAGTCAAAATTAACTATACATGTAATACTGTATGCCTGAGACGTATTGCATAGAATATCAAGATGAAGTTTTTTTTTTACTTAATGGCTCTGGAGACAGGTGGTTCTCAAAAATATAGAATATGGTAGTGCCTTAATGTAGTATCACATCAATTCAAGTATTTAGCTTTAAAGGCTGACAGTGAGTAACACAAAAGAGCTACCAACCTAAGTATTTATGGAGAGGAGGAATTTAAAGACCCATCTGATTATATAGTCCATTACTTCACAAACTAAACTCTCCAACTGAAAAAACTGTACCTCAAATATTCCTTTGAAAAAATCGTTCCTCTTGCCTGTCCTCTGGGAATGTAACAAAGTGTTCTTAACTTCAGTTACATAAAGGCTATGAAAATTGCAGCTATCAGTGTTTGACACTTGGAAGGCACGTTCAAAAATGTTATGGGAATATGCTTACTTGGCAGCCTGGTAATAGATGAAACACCTTATCCAAGTCTTTTGTACCATCAGCACGATCTCCTTGGTGTCTTTATTAACGGATTAGTTTATCCATTTTAATGTTAACCAGGCAGAATCTGGCTTTTGGTCCTTTCTAGCAAACGTCCCATCTTTCTTCATAGCTAAATTATTTCAAACCTACCTGCTATTTCCTTTTCTTCATGAACTATCTTTGATTTCCCCAAACTGGGTTCTGTCTGCCATTTTACTGAAATCGTGGTTTGAAAGCTAAAAAGAGACCTCTTCTGAGACAAATGCAATGCCTCCTTCTGTTGGCTCTTCTTTTGGATTTCTGTGCTCCCTCTGACAACAATGATCACTTTTTTCCTCTGGATACTTCCCAGCTTTAGTTAAAGGATAGGCTGGGCAATACTATGCCACATCTTAGAAAACAAGAAACCACATCATTCATTCTTTCCCGTTTCCAGCAGAGCACAGAGGAAGGCTGTATATCCGAAAAGAACTTTTATTCACTCTTTCCTTCCTTTTATAAACCTGTTTAAGACACATCCCCGTCATGAAAACTTCCGATTGGGTTTGCTGTTTCCAGTAACAGTATCTCCCTATACTTCCTCATGTTATTTACCTAACTTGCATTTATTGGACCGTCATATACATACCACCTCATTAGAACCTAACTTCTCGGGAAAGGGCTGTGTTTTCTCTTTCTCCAGAATCCCCTTAGAGCCTGGGAGTACAACACTTGGCTTTCAGTAAGCTCTCAGTTCAATGCTAGAATCAAGCTGCCATTCCAGGCTTGGATAACGAAAGGCATAACATCGTGCAGCATTCATCTCTGCTTTAGCTGTTCAATGGCCTTTCCACCTTAGCTTCCACCTCTCACGGAGACTAGCGACCCGAGCGGAAAATGCCACAATCAGATCACAGCATTTTCTTGTGAGAAACTGGAAAGGGAGGCTCTGCAGAGGGTAGTATCCTGATGTCCTTCTCTCGGAGCCCAGGGATTCTTTAATGAAGGAGGCGAAGGTTGGGTGAATATGGAACCGAGAATTAACATGTATAGACCCTTACGGAAAACTTTCCTGAACCCTGGGAAAATTTATCTTCTGGCCCCGCTACCTGAGCCTGCCTTTCTCCTCGTCCTCCCCTCCCCACGCCCCCACGCCTGAGGATACTCACGGGGGGTGGGAGCTCAAGAGAACAGCTTCAGAGCCTGGAAAGCGCTTTCAAGCACCAATACAGCGCCAGCCTCTCCGACGCCTCAGAACCGCGCGAAGGAAAGGGGGGGAGGGGCGACCGGGGCGAAGGAACCAACTTCCGTTGCTCTTCTCTACCTTGGGAGGTCGCCGGGACCCGGAACTCACCTTCCCTGAACCCGCGAGCTGGAGGCCAAGCCCAGCTGGTAGCGGCAGGCCCTGCCAGAAGCCCTCGAAGCAGCCGTCCACAACTAGACACCAGTACATTGACAGCCGCCATCTTCAAAATCAACAATGACCTCTTATGCGCTTCCGCTTCCGGAACGGCGCGCGCGCAGCCGCAGTTGTGGGCAAGATATGTGCGTCCGAGGGCGTCTCGCTCCGTTGCTTCTGTCACTTCTATTTCCCTTACCTCTGGCTTTGTGCTCAGCGGAGAGGTCTCCGCGTCAAGTCTGTGCTTCAATCCGACGGTCTAGCGGAGGTTTCTAGCTCCTCTGCCAGTTCTCCCAAGTCTGGAAGGCCGCTTCCTTCCCTGGCAGGCTTCCTTGGTAAATCACATGCACTATCCCTATTTATTTGAAGCTTTTTTCTTTGCAAGTGACGTGTGGATTTTTAACTTCTTGTAGCTGGTGCTAGGCCTGTACAGGAGAGGTTGAAATGGTTAGGAACTCTGGTTTTGGAACATCAGGTGTCAGGCAGACTTGGGATAGATTTAATTACCTCCCTCCCCCCAACCTCTACCCGCTACACACACATGCAACACACACATCTTTCATTCTCATACACTAAGCACTTCCGTTTGGCCCCGGGGCCTTTGTACAGTTACTTTCTCTGCCTGCTCTTTGGCCACTTGATAAAACTATTTATGTCTCAGAGCTCAGCTCAAACTTCACTTCCATAGTGGAGACTTTCTTAACTGGCCTGTACTTTGTTCTTAGCACCAGATACCTCTCCATCTTGGTACTTGACACAATTGTAGTTTTACATCTGTTTGCATAGCATGTATCTCCCCACTAGAGTATAAGCTCTATGAAAAGGCTTCCTCTCTGTGGGTTGCCTTTTCATTCTTCTGCAGTGTATTTTTTGATGAGCAGTATTTACAAACTTTAATACAATATAATTTTTTTTTGCCCCCCCACCCCGCCCAACTAATACAGTATAATTTATCAGCTTTTTTCCCTTTATGGTTGGCACTTCTAGTTTCTTATTTAAATTTTTTTCCTCTTCAAGGTCATAAGATATTCTCTTATGTTTTCTTCCAAGAGCTTTATTTTACCTTTCACATTGGACCTAAACTCATCTGGGATTGTTTTATCATGTGGTCTGAGATTGGGGTTAAGGTTCCCTTTTTTTTCCATAGCGATATTTAACTGACCCAGCACCTAAAAACATCACACTTTACCCCACTGCATTTTACTTGGCATGGACCTTTTTCTGGAATGTTTATGTGGTCTTCTCTTTTCTTCCTTTAGCACCCACCATTTTAAATGTCTGTGTACTATTTCATTGTCTAGAAATGCTACTTAATCAATCCCCAATTGCTGAGCATTTAGGTTGTTTTCAATCAAAACATTTCCTAAAACATACCCCCTCACTTCAAAATAGCATCTTCTATTTTATCAGTGTGTCATGTATACCCCTTTCCCCAATTTGGTATGTTGTGGATTTTTTTTAAGGTTTTTAAGGATTTTTTTTTATACTGTGGAATAAAAGGGAGTGAGGGCCCTTCTCTGGAGCCACAAAATGATAGCTGCCACTTTACAATAGCCAGAGTTTCGGGGGCTGCTGGCAGAGTCACTTATACTCATGGAAAGAATTTCCAGCTGTAATAGCAATCCTGGAACGTGAAGAACAGCAATGACATTATATGCATGTATATGAGGGAAGGGAGGTTGCTGAACTGCTCCCTATTCTGACAAAATCTTCTATCCACTCTCTTTTATGAGGACCCTAGCCCCCTTGCTTCCACTCCACTTCCTTAGGAAGCCATCCTTTTTTCCTGCCCCTTTTTCCAGGACCCTGTATCTTAAATCTGAAGATAACTAAGTAAACTGTCCTAATGAAGATATTCAGGGAAACATTCACAAAAGATGAACCCAGAAATGTTCATTTTGCCAAGAAAAGCTTAAGCTCTGGGCAGTAATGACCTGGTCTACTGACTTGCTACCAGCCAACAGGACAGCTGGCTCCGGCCAGAGGAAAGGCAACAGCCAGGAAGCCAGGGGCGGGTCAGCCAGTCTATGGCTTTGGGGCTGAACAAGCTCTGGTCCCAGCTGGGGATGAATGTGCTCATCCATCCTTCCTCCTACCTCACCCAGGAATAATGGGTCAGAGCCAAGAGCCACACAGATGTTTGCTGTGAACCAGCAGAGGCAATGCAGGGAAGGTGGAGAAGCTGATCTGGGAGACACCAGGGTGGGAGGGGGCTGTAAGACAAACCAGGAGAAAGAGCTGGGAGAATAAGTGACAGTCATGTTTGCTTTCTCTAATTAATGTGGTTTCCTTATAAAACCCCCTGCTGATTCCCAGCTGGTTGATTCAACCATAACAACATGTGGTCTACCCTTCCCAGGCCAGGAGCTGAGACTGTGAGCCTCCCAAGAAGAGTCTGGTTTCATTTGCAGCTGCCGCCCCTCCTTCCTAGCTGGCTTTGTGCAGATGAGGGAAGGGACAGCACCTCTGTCAGTGGTGGAGAGCTCGAGAGCTCGGGGATTGAGGGGACAACCAGGGACTACTTGCTTGGGCTTGCCTGCTGCTCACCTCGGTTTCCCATGACCTTTAAAAAAGGGCAAGTCCTTGCTCGTTTGGGCTCCACCTTCAAACAGGTGTGAGTTGGGGGTGGGTGAGGACACCTTGGACAAAGCACCCCTTGCTGGGTGGTGGCCTCTCTAAGTGTGTGCCCTGTTTGACACAATGGGCCTGGAAACAATTGGAGTGTGTCTAGAGTCCTAGCTAATTCAATGTTTTGCATCAATTTTTCAGTGTTGCTTCTCTTCCTCACTAGGACCCTTACTCTGTCAAGTAATTAATCTTATCCCCATATGTTCATTGACTCATTTTGCCAACAAGTATAATTGAGCAGCTACCATGTGCCTTTTGTAAACATGCAACAGGAGAACATTCTCCAGAGGTAAAAGCTCTTGCCTGACAAAGAAAGGTTTGTAAACTGGGTGATTACCCTGGAGTTTATTTGTATACCTCCTCCCCCATGCTTTTTAAAATTAAAAAAAAAAATAGTAAAATAAAACACAACATTCCAAAAAAGTACATAGAACTGAAATGTACCTTGTAACAGATTAATTATAAAGTAAACCTGATTCATTGCTATGCTGGATCACTAGGGCATGGGGGGCTGCCCTAATATATAAATAAGGGGGAAAAATACAAAAAATAAGTGAAATTGGTGATAGGCAGCCTTAGAGACCTTTAGAGCTCTAAAACCTTTCAGGAAAGTGAGGCCAGAAGAAGGAAGCTCCCAAAAACAGCTGAAGGAGAGAGCCTGCTGTAGCCTTTGTGCACAGTTACCAGGCACAGGCCAGAATCCTCTCCAGGGGAGCGCACACTAGTAGGGATCCCCAGTGCTTGGCCAGCATTACCCTCACCCCAGCCAGCTGGGGCCAGTGAGGCCTGCTCAACTCAGTTTCCTGGCTGTGGCTGAGCATTTCTGCAGAGGACTGGAGGCTCTTTCTGAAATGGCCTTTATGGCCCTGTCAGGCTGAGAAACTCATCAGGATTCTTTTCTCCTGGTACCTGGATTCAATTCATAAGCAGAGTATTTCACCCTTTAGAGCACTTTGGAACTATTGGCACATTTTTGCTAGTGGGTACAAATGGCGTCCTAGGCAGATGCTGTCTCCTGCACACATAGTGATACATGCAAAAGCAAAAAGGAAGAGCTGCAGACTGGAAATCGGGCTCTGCGCTCACCAACGGATGACCTTAAGTCAGACACTCATGTTCTCCGGGCCTCAGTTGCTCCATCTATGTAGAGTCCTGTCTAGTTCTGGAATTCTGATTCTATAACATTCCCATTGTTGTGACCCAGAGTGAGAGTTCAGTCTTCAGCGTCCTCTTGTCCACCCTGCTGTCCAGCAGAGATCTTACCCGCTTCCATTCCTCTGTTCTCCCCTTGAATCTGCCAAGTCCAAGATTACAACAAAGTTCTTTTGAGCCCAAGCCTCTAGTTCTCAAAGTCCTTTTGAGACAGCCTATCTACAAAAATTTCTATTTGGTTCTTCTGAAGGAATTGCATGTGCACTGTGTCTCAGTAAGACTACCACCACCTTCCTGATAAATGCTGTCAGTGTTGTCAGTCTCTTTATCACTCACAGAGTCACCATTAACCCCCATCTAGTTTCCAAAGTTTTTATTAATTTCATAAGTTTCAAAGTTACCTTATAATTACCCCCTCTTCCTCAACATTTCAGTTTCTGCCATCTTCCAGTACCACAATTTGCCCATTGCCTTTAATTTCCTCATCTCCAATCTACTCTGTGGTCTCTGATTTTTCTAAACACCCCTGGTCACTTTCCTGCTCAATGGCATCTCATCACCCACAGCTGGCCTCTGAATTTGCATTTTTTTAGGGAACTCCTGTAAGGCTAAAATCTGAGAACTGCTGCCCAAGGGGACTGAAGTCCCAGTCCCATAGTTTGACATATGGGGCCTTCCATGATGTGACATCCCCTATGGTTCTCAGTTCTCCTCCCCTCTTTTCCCACACAGCCTCAAAACTTACCCCATGCTTATTTCCCTTCCCTCCTTTACTCCCACCATGCTCTTCTTCAGGGGTGCCCTCCCTCTTCTGCTAGTTAAAGTCCTCCCTTCTTCCAACACCTGGCCCACTTCTCACCCTCTATGTCAGGACTTCCTCTATCTGATCTTTCTGCATATTCTCTCTTTCCTTCCTGCCACTCCAGTGCTAGTCTGTTCCTACCTCTGGCTCCTTGAGCACATGCCATTCCACATTAGCCAGGACTGTCTGGGTTGTAAGTGACAGTCATCTAGCTTGCAGAAGGACATTCACTATCTCTTATAACCAATCCAGGATGGGCAGGGTTCAGTAGGGCCTTGAGGCAACTGGATAACCAAAGCCAGAGACTCAGACACCTCCAGGCTCTCCCGCTCCTCTTGTCTCTCTTTCTCTCTGCATTTTGGCTTTATTCACTCGTTGTTCTCCCCTTGTGAGGCTGTCAGCATTTCCTAAACTTGCGACAGGCATTGAGATACTAAGATTGGCAGGTCCCAGTGGAACTATAAGGAGAAGCTGCAGGAAAGGCAAAAGAAGAGGAATTTCCCTAAAGAAAGGAAGCACTATTTCA